GGTTGGTACCGGCTAGGCTTGGGTGTACCAAACGGCACTTGGAGTTCTGGTCCTACGGAGGCTGTAATGGCAGAAGTCAGTATCTGCAGGCAGGATTGGGCGAGAGCTTACTTACCATCAGGTGTGACAAACCCGTGGGGCGGCTGCCCAGCTAGACAAGCTTTCTTCTGCAATCCGTCAATTGGGAACATGACTCCGGGAGCGGCTTCACCGCGCGCGTTATTTCGAACCATAGCTGATGACATCTCCTTGAAATGTAAGTCGAGGATTGGCCATTTGTCCTGGGTTTTGCCACTGAGAGACCGCACCCTACGGTAAGCCCTGTCCAATCTGCTGAATTCCTGTGCGGTACGCATCGGTTCTGTCAACGACGCGTTCCTGGGGGCGCTGAGGTATCTTTCCTGTATCCATGTAGCGAGCTCGACGTCATCCTGTGTTTCGCTATTGCACAGAACCTCGTGAATATTCACTAGAGTTGGGATGTCGGCATAACCGAAGAATTCCTCAGGAAGTAGTGCTTCGGAAGCGACGTAATCAGCGGGATTGTATGGCATGCTGTATGTAGGCGCCATGGTCGTAGTGTTGACGAAAGCTGTTTTGGTTTGGGTGGAAGATAGGAAACAGCGTTGGGTGTGTGGGAGCCGAGCTATTGCGGACTTATCTGACCACGGTGACCGTGGAGTGAATACAGTTGAATAGATAAGGTGCGAGTGGTGTAAGTATTCAAGCCTTGCTATTGTCGCGCGACCCAAGTGAAGCCAGCGGTGAGGATTTTGACCGGGTAGCGGCCGGCGTCGGGCCCACGTGTGCGCCTGCGCAGTGCGAAAAGTGCAAGTGGACGTCGTTGGATCGGACCCAGGCGACTACTGTATGAGACTTGGTGGTAGTACTCGAGAATCTTGAGCAACTGGGGAGTTTAGAGCAAAAGGCGGGGAGTGAGTTGGTGACGGCGAGGGTGGAAGTCCGTGCCCAGTGGTGGTGTTCTAGAAATTCCGTAGCTTCGATGGAAACTTCAGAACGGCACAAAACTTGTCACCACCTTGGGAGCCAAAGAACTTGCCATTTATTATCCGGCACAACACGTCCAGTATCAGGTGCAGTGTACTGTAAATGTGACTCTTCAGGCATCTTCGTTGAGTGCAAAGAGATCGTGGGATGGTCCGCTGGTACCTGGCTACCTAGTTCGAGCTTTCCCGCCGCCGCGCTGAGTGCCCGCAAACCTGGAACTATCAACATATGAGCAGATGAGACCCTCAGAAGCGAAACCCTCAGACGTCTATTATATGACTAGCCACTATCATCACACTAGATATTCGCCGGCCTGAAGCTCATTATCTGCATCTCTATCTAATCTCGGTTCTGAAAACCCCCACACACACGCGCCAGAGCTCCTCTCCCCAGCCCATCATATCTTCCCTACGCAAACTCGCCTCCGAGCCCTGTTCCCAGGCCATTCCCCGCGACGTGACCATAGTTCTTGCCATGCTAAAAAGTAGCGGCCAAGCGTGGTCATCTACGTCGATACCGCGAGGCAACGCATCATGTATCGACTCTCTGAGGGTGTCTTCGCTAACGGATAGCGGGTCGTGATCATCGGCATGGTTACGAATCTGATGGTAAAGATGGTTGCTTACATACCAGAGATCGCGAACGACGCGACGACAGCCTTCGAGTGTTAGGCGACTGTTTATACCAATGATCTCGCCACCGAAGAACAGATACTGCTCCGGTGCCGAATGCGTTCTGTTGGCTGTTCCACCTCTTCTATCACTTCGTGGCGCATCTCTGCCGCCCTGGTCTCGTAAAGCGCCGAACGGAACAAGTGACCAGCTCTCGGTCTCTTCCGCATGCGTTGTTGACATGAAAAGCTTGTTTCTATCGAACGGACATGTGTTTGCGCCTTCTTCGAACCATTGCTGTATGCATGGCTTACCGAAAATGTGCCCACAAGGACGCAGAAGAACCGGTTCGTGATCTTTGGTGTAACTATCCCAACAAATGTGGCAAGGATCTGCTGCGGAACATATCGCGACGGGTATCAAGTCATTAAGATATGCCTCCCGCGGGGGAAGTGGCGTACTAACAGGCATCTCAAACGCTGATGTTCTTGGCTTTGGGTTGAATAGTTCACTACGGACAATGCACGTTAGGAGCTGGGGCTGAGGCTCTTATATTGGTATGAAGAACAAGCGTCCAAGAAGTGAGAGACACACCGGTGAGACGTTACAGGTGACTACTACGGTTTGCTAGCCTGATACCTAATTACTGTGTTGGCTGAGACTTCGTCATATGCTACATAGCTCATGACGTAGCTATGTAGTTGAGACCGCGCAGCGAGCGTGCGCGCGACAGTAAGTCCGCATCCTTGCTTCGTTCCGGAATTAGTATCAACACTGTGCTATATCGCTTCTAATGTTACAACTTCCGTGGGATAAGTACGACCTCTGAAGCTCGTCCTGGGGTTTTAGGGTCGCAGCCACAGTTTACCGCTTCACTGCTTTGCTGACGCGGCGGCACTCGTCTCGTGGCTCTGCGCGCCGCTTTCGAGACATATCGCAGCTATCAGAGTAGTCTGGTCGGCATCCTGCAAGGGCCTGTGTCTTTGTTGGCTTGTAGCATGCTTGTATGGTCTGAGTGAGCTTTGGCATGGGGCTTGTCTCAGCCCGCGATATGATCGAAGTGCGTAGCGGAACCGGCGCGTTATTCTTCTGCAGCTGTTCCTTAGTTACGCGGTGCCAAAATATCTTGGCAAAACGCGAACGAGCAGCTGGTGATGATGACGACCCTATTTGTAGACTTAGACTCAAAGAGCGATTTCGCCATTGAGATTGCAGCGTTCTCAGATCACTCTCGATCTCTGGATGGTCACTTGACACTACCCAGGCCCCACGCTGGTCCGACAGCCGTATCTTAAAATTAGCGATTGGTGCTGCAACGGCAGTTGGTCCATACTTGGCTACAATGCTCCATGTGTCGTTCCGAAACCATTGCGCTATATAAGACATGGGTACATCGCAGTACTCCTTACCTCCAGTCTCGCTGGCCGTCTTTCGATCTACCCATATCTTACGCATAAGAAGGTGAGTGCCTGGTCCCGACAAGTCTTGAGGGTTAATTACGGTGCCGAACATGAAGTGTTCCCAGCCATAGCCCCACTCAGCTTCTGGACAGTCAGCTCGGATGTGCGGCTCCCTTGTATTGCCCCGTCGCAATATTCCCACAGCATGGGTAATCTCATGCACGAGTGTTGCAGCGAAAAGGAAATCATGCCGAAACTGCGCACATCGCGACGCGGCTTCGTACTCACCAGTCGAATAAAAGTTACGCAACCAGTCCGCCATTTCGATCCTACAAGAAAATTTGCGCTGGAACGCCGGACAACATGACGCGACATGGTGTGGAGTTGCATTGTCCCGCAGCGAACGGGCGTATACTCGCCTCGCAGACGGTAGGAAATGGAAGGAAACGCTGTGCCCAAGGCAATGCAAAGCCTCACGCACTCCGGCCAGATATTGACTGCGTTTCTCTTCAGACGCATTCGCGAGCGGGTCTGAGAGGTAAGTCTTCTTCGCATCGTCAACTATGCCTATCAAGTCGCGTCCGTATAGAAGCGGTACAAAAAAAGCGAGGACGGTGTCATGGCTGAGAAAATGTGATGCCAACCGAAGCATCTGCCGCATAGGCCCGTTACTATCAAACCAACGCAACGTCGGATGGATTGGATTGCGCAAGTCTCCAGGCAGAACACTTTCGTGTTCTAGAAGTTTGAACCTGTCGTCTTTGTTGCATGCTGCGATCAATCCATTGATACCGGGGTTGGCTTCTGGGGCGACACGTTTCTGTCGCAGCGGCGTCTCTTCCGTCATCGTTTGCGGATATGGAAAGGGTGTTTGCGCACCTGTACTCGTCATAATCCAATGAAGTATACATATTGGAGGCATGACCATTGTGGAGAGTCAACCGCGACATAATGAGACAAAGCGGTGAGTCAAATGAACAACATGCCTGCCAACTAGGAAAGAGGGTGGCCAGACTAGAACAATGCAGAAACAACACTTGGTTCCTAGAAGTTCGGGAAACATTGTGTTGAGCATGGGAAAGTCATGGTAAAAGAGACTGAGCCACTGTGAACCAGGGTGGTAATCGGACGCATTGTGTAGCGATCCATCGATTCTTCGGAGAAAATTCGGACAGTGGCATTTGGGTAAGTCGAGATATGAATGTGATAACGACCGCTCTGCGTGTGAGCACACATGTGCCTGAGCCAGCCGGAAGCTATTCTTTAAACGTATTGAAAGACTTGGCGCGCTTTATGGTAGATGCGTGGACAATAACGCTGTCGTTCCGAGCTCATGTGGGTGGCTGGGGCGCCTTCGTATCTTCGCAACATGTCCAGGGAAACGATTCAGTTTATACAATGCTGCGAATAGCTTCGAGCTAATGCATGAGACTTGTGACAGACTATCGTTCTTGTCGTGAAAGGAGTGCGTCATCGCAACGAGCTGCAGGTGGAGGTAACAATCGAATTAATATCTCTTAGCGTCGTGCGTATAGTAGGAACTTTAGAAGTAGCGAAGCCCGCGCTCAAAGAATGCAATGATTCTGAAGACTGATGAATGTTGTGATGTTATGATGATCACAGAGTACAGTTTCGGACGAAAGGACGGCAGCGAGATCGGGACGCGTCAAAAGGCTTGGCGTCATGTGCTGACGTGTCTTAGCGTGTTCAGACGCGTTTGCCCCACTGTTTGCTCTTCAGGGACCGTTGGTCACATCCAACACATTCAATCTCCTCATTCACCGTTACACGCACTAGCGACGAACAGCTGGCCAATGCTTCAATGCTCTCAGTCACACCATCCTGCAAACCCCGCCAACCCCGCCATCGCTAGTTTGCAAGCTGCATGCACCCGTGGGTAGCTCCCGCCTAACGCGTCAAATCAGCTTCTGCATACATCAATACATTGCCGCAGCATCTCACTCATAAGCATAACCTAGCAATGGACTGGGACGACTTCCATCGACGCGCCAAGCGTGTTGTGCCACAACAGGAGCTCAAAGCACGCCGGTGCTGGATTGGTGTGCTCGATCACCGCAAGTCTACGCAGGATGACTTCAAGGAAACCGATTTCTTATGGATGATAGGCCACAATGTAAGCTCTATACCCTTCCCTGTTCCGGGATAACGATGTTTTGGCGGCGTCAATGCGCGCGGAATACACCTCGAATGCGCCGATGCAGTACCACGCCCATCCGCTGACCTGCTTCTAGAAAATTCCTATCAATAAGATTCAGGATACTTACGAGAAACGGCATGATCTTATCGGTGTTCGCATTAGTTACAAAGGCTGTGTCGTCGACCAAAGCGATATCGTCAAGTCATTCTTAGTGCCGGAAGACTGTGTCGTGGTCTTTAATGCCGTAGACCCGCTCAACGCAACGGTACAACATCAAACACTAGACCCTCCATCGCTCAGGGAAGAGCTCATTCAAGCCGAGATCCCGCGTCGGCACCAGGAGATTGAGTCTGGTCACGATGCTAAACAAACAGCAAACAACCATGTCAACCCTGGAACAATGGGAAGAGAACCACTACGCTATGGTGCTGAGACAGCCTCCATTTCCTCTCATGGTGCATCAGGCCATTCGGCAACTCAACATAATCCCAGCTTTGCTTCGCCGTTGACATCGAGGCATACCAGTACTTTGAGTAGCCGCGCACCTGCACTCGACTCAGATAGGTATCCGCCGTGGTCTCAATCACGGTCTCCTGTTCAATATTCTGTGCCAAACCGATCTCATCAGCTACCATGGCGCTCTTCTAGTGAACTAAGCACACCGTCAGTTCCAGGGGACAATTTCCGCCAGGCAATTCCTCGACCAACTGCTGCTTCAGTTACGGAGGGTGCAGCGCAAGCTGCTCATCGTGAACCTACTGATGCGCGTCCTGCGGCACCATCAATGTACCCAATGAACAATTGTTCCGCCGTCAAGGAGGAGAGACAGTCGCCAATCCCTTTGCAACGTACGTCCCTTGCCCAAGATGACCATATGGAGCCGGAAAGCAGTTTTGACCCGGAAAAGATTTTCAACAGAGATGCCTCGCCGGAACAAGATGTCCAAGAAGAGTTGGGCTCCGTTGATCGATGCATTCGCTCAGTCATTGAGCTACGAGACCCTGACATCCTTGAGGCTGGCGTTTCCACATCGCTCAAAGTTCTCGCAAGCCTTAAAGACAAGTTTCTAAAATACTCAACATCTAGTGCGGACGCTGCGGCATGGGTACAAGCCATTGAGAAGCTCATTCCCCAAGCGCAGCGAAAGCGCACTGTGGTCGGCGTAGTGGGCAATACTGGAGCTGGGAAGAGCAGCGTCATCAACGCTATGCTTGACGAAGAGCGGCTCGTACCTACCAACTGCATGCGTGCTTGCACTGCGGTGGTTACCGAGATCTCGTGGAACAGCAGCACCGACCCAGGCTCTAAATACCGCGCCGAGATTGAGTTCATTAGCCAGGCGGACTGGGAGAAGGAACTAACAGTTCTTTTGCGCGAGTTCCTTTCCGAGAATGGTTCTCTCTCGCGCGAGGCGCAGGATCCCAATTCTGATGCCGGTGTTGCATGGGCAAAGTTCCATTCCGTCTACCCGTCGGTCGCCAAAGATGCTTTAGGTGACTGCACCATTCCTTCGCTCATGTCCAAGCGATCCGTTGTCGACGTACTTGGAACTACCAAAAAGATACGCACGGCTAGACCGCAGTCTTTCTATCGAGAGCTCCAACGCTACGTGGATAGTAAAGAGAAAGTTGCCAAGAAGGACAAGAACAAGGAGAAGGTCTCCAAGCCAGCTTTCCAAACTGAGTACTGGCCCTTGATCAAGGTCGTCAAAATCTATACGAAGAGTCATGCGCTCTCGACTGGTGCAGTCATTGTGGATTTGCCGGGTGTTCATGACAGTAACGCTGCGAGAGCTGCTGTTGCTCAGGGTTATATGAAGCAATGCACTGGCCTTTGGATCGTTGCTCCTATCAATCGAGCTGTGGACGACAAAGCCGCTAAAACCTTGCTCGGAGACTCTTTCAAAAGGCAGCTCAAATACGATGGCGGCTTCTCCAGTGTTACATTCATCTGTTCGAAAACAGATGACATCTCTATCACTGAAGCAATCGACAGTCTCGGGCTCGAAGAGAATGTTGCAACGTTTGAAGAAGAACAGGAACGCCACGATGAGCAGATAAAGCAGATTCGGAGCAAGATTCAAGAGTTGAACGAATCGCGAGAGGTCTATAAGCTTGCTATGTCGAGCGCAAGTGATGACATTGAGGTGTGGGAATCACTCCAGGAGCAACTGGACGACGGGAAATCTGTGTTCGCACCCCAGCCCAAGACTTACAAACGTAAGAAGACCGTCTCGAACAAGCAGGCACGCAAAAGGAAACAGCTTTTCGATGACGATACGGATGATGATTTTGAGGATTCCGATTCCGATGAGTCTAGGAGCGACGATGAAGTCACATTCCAGGGAGAGAGGAAGCGGCTATCCGAGACTGACATCAAAGAGAAACTGAAGGAGCTAAGGGAAACGAAGAAGAATGCTAGGCGAGAAGGGATAGCAATCAAGCACTCTATCGACGACCTGAAACCTCAAATTCGAGAACTGGACGCAAAGAAGGATGAAATCAAAGCTGAGATCAGCCGCATCTGTATTGCAGGCCGAAACCAGTACTCCAAATCGGCTATTCAGCAGGATTTCGCTGCCGGCATCAAGGAAATTGACCAGGAAAACGCTGCGGAAGAAGACGAAGACAACTTCAACCCCGATGAAGAGATGCGCGACTACAGCCAGGTTGCTAGGTCTCTGCCAGTCTTTTGCGTCAGCAGTCGCGCGTACCAGAAGATGTGCGACCGAATGCAAAAAGACGATGAAGTGCCCGGATTCCTAACACCCGAAGAGACGGAAGTGCCCCAACTTCAGAACCATTGTAAGAAGCTTACTGAAGGCGGACGCATCCAAACTAGCCGCGCGTTCTTGACCAGCGTCTGCCAAATATTAACCACTTTCAACCTCTGGATGTCAAACCACGGGGCGGGTTCGAAGATGACGGACGAGGACAAGCGCAAGCAGGCCAGCTACCTAGGGCGGCGGCTTACTCAGTTAACGGAAGGATTAGAGGCAGCCATTAGTGCTTGCATCAAAGAGATGCGATCTGAGATGAAGACTCAAATCTTCGACAAATGCCCAGAGCTCATCAACAAGGCCATTGAATCTGCACCAGCTACAGCACATGCTTGGGGTTACAAGGATCAAGGTGGCCTCGCGTGGGGATCCTACAAGGCTGTCGTTCGACGCGACGGCGTTTATCATTCTTCTGCGGCCGGCCACCGTGACTTCAACTCCGATCTTGTGGATCCCATCATCAAGCAACTAGCAACGGGTTGGGAGCGAGCCTTCCAGTCGCGCCTTCCAAAAGCATTTGATGCGTATATCGGCAATTCAGGCACGCTTCTTCACAAGTTTCACGAAGCCATAGAAGAGCGTGCGAGGACCAGCGGCGTTGGCCTGGCGAATCTCTCAATCTTAAAGACACAGGTCTGCAACTACGAGCAGCTATTCAAGGATCTTGGGGTCACGCTCATCACTCAAATGAACGAACTCCAGCGGGAAGCGAACCGTGACTTCAGCCCTTGTATCGCAGGCATCATGCATGACGTATACGATGTGTGCACAGAAGAGCGTGGCGCTGGATCTTACAAGCGCATGAAACAACACATGGAAGATCATGTGGAGCGGGAGCGACACAGGATGTTCCATGAAGCCATCGCCACAGTCAACAAGCACCTTGATGACATGTGTAAAGCACTACAAGAGTCAATGGAAACCAAGGTTGATGAGATTTTCGTGCAGATGGACAGGGACTATACCCGAGTGCTTGGTGGCACGGCTGGCTGCCAGCCCCTTAATCTGCAATCAAAAGAAGAGAGGGAGCTGAGGTCGGAAATCAGAGAGATCTTGGCAGGCATCAATGCGCAATTTGAGCCCATCGCTCGCGGCGACATCTTAGCAGAGAAAGATGCAGAAAACAGCACAGCCGAGGGAGAAGAGCAGATGGACGTTGACGTGGAGGACGACCGCAGCATCGTTGACTCCGCACAGGACTCCGTCGAGGAGGACGTTGATGAGGCAGCTCCGATAGAGACTGAATCATCCCTTTCCAAGAACGGTGGCGACCATGTCGACCGACATACCCGAGTCGACGACGAGGTAAATGAGGAGATGTAGGTGTGCTCACGACACAGCATCATCTTAGCCGTCGATATCTGTATTGCTTCATTGTCCGCTGCTTTATACCCCAGGCGTTAGTCGAATTGCCAAGCGGGCGTTCAGAATGGGATGGTTTCTTCCCCGAATCAGTCGATATGAAGGGCCTGATTAGGTTGACTCGCGAGCCCATGCGAGAGGAACTGGTCTTTTTCGGTGATAATACGAGAAGAACGAGCGATCTTTCTTCCAATTTCAGTCGGTATTTCTCCGGTGTACATGGTGTCTTTAGCCACTTAGTTCTGGGCCGGGTGGAGACATGGATACTTGGTGTCAGTGCGTTACCAATGCAGTCTTCAAAACATCTCCATGAATGTGCACTCGTGAAATTGAACCCATCGGTAATGTATCAGCATCTCATACAAAGAAAAGCCGGACACCCTGGAGCCTACATCAAGATGAAAACACGCAAAGTAGATGATCTAATATTAACGTAGGCTCTAGGGTGTTCACTTTCCCCCAGAAGAAGGTGTCTGAGTCAACAAGTCTTTTGTTCATGCGCTCCTGAGCGTCTATTGTTCTTAACCAAACTCCGTGAACGCCGCGTCGTTATGCCATGCCCGATACTAATGTATTGCCACATCTAATCGTCCCACTCCTCATCCAGGTTGTCTATCAACCTATCCTCATCTTCATTCCTTCGTCCCCTCCGTCCGCTATCTTGGCCGAGCGAGACGCGACTGTAGCCCCGGCGGGAAGGCATGAAGCGCGCACACGACGAAGTAAGAATGATGAACATGTCCTTCACGATGTCAGCAACACCAACAAGACATTCGAGCGTCTGTCATCACCACCGGGCGCTACTACTACTCCTTCTACGACAACAGCGGAGTAGACTTACAGAGAAGAAGCGCCAGATGCCTGCCCACATGGCGTAGTTGGGCAGCTGTCTCCATCCGCGCTGGTGCATGACGGTGCGTTGGTAGACACAACCACCAGCAAAGTATACGGCTACGGCGATCATAACGATGACACCAAAGACGCCGCCGGGGCCTAGAGCTTGAGTATCCTGGTGTACGCCGCCGCATGCGAAGGGCGAGCGGCCTTCGAAGAAGTATGAGCAATCGTCTACCGCCGCGACGAAGGACACGCTTGTTTTCGCGAGCGGGTCGTTGTCGCAAAGCAGAGAGATGATGGTAGTCTTGCGGCGCTCAGTTTTCTTTGAGCCTTTCTTTTTGTCTCCGTCATCCTTGTCATCGTCATCGTCGCCGTCAATGATCTCGCGGGTGTCAAGAGAGGTGGGTTCGAGCGTGCGCTTGGATTTCGAGGACAGATCTGGGCAGAGCGAACCTCCGGTGTAGTTTAGAATGAGCTTGCGACCGCGGAAGATGGGTTCTGAGTTCTCGAGACTAGAAATCGCAAGGTGTTAGCATTGCGCCTCAATGGACTGTTATGCCTAGTTGTGAAGGAGCATCTTGAGCGCCTCCATCTATTCCCACTTCGTAGGATGTGAGACTCACCCAATAGCCCATTGCTTGTCTCCTCTCTCGTAGAATGCGCTGACGTTCTTCCAAAGGCCCTTGTCTAGATCTTGCACTTTGTCCAGCTCCTCCACTACAGGTCCACAGAAGTTGATTGTGAAGTTGGCATTGTAATCGTAACCCTTGGCATGCCAGCTGCCTTCTTCGCCCTCCTTCTTGCTACTCTTCTTGCCATCCGACTCTGATGGTGGCTGGCGGCGCATAGGGTTCAGGTCGAAGAAGCGCTCGGACGTGGGCGAGATGACGGTACATGGCTTGAGCTGTTTGTCCGAAGCGGCCGCTGCGAATGGGCCCGACGCTGCCAGAAGCAGGAGCGAGTAGAGTAGGGATATCATCGCGTAGTTGATCGGCGCACTACGCACTATGAGGGTCGAGGCGTGGTGACGGTGAAGGTGGAGCTGATGCGATTGTCCATCTTCGCAACACGTTGACTTCCGGCGCCGCGCCTTCCATGTCGAGTGCCTTGCAGCGGCAGTAACGACGGGCGGTAGCGCCCAAAGCAGTTAGCGCGGCCAAGATGGCGTGTGCGCGTCATTACGGCTGCGATGGAATCCGAGATCCCTTTCATCGTCTGATGCGCCCAGCCTCGTTCATTGCTATATAGGACACTGCACCCGTGGCTGTCTTTGGTTCAGGCGGCGCGACAATCACCCTCGGCGAAGACAACAACTGCGACAAGGACCCTTTGTTGTAACGACGCGACCGGACCCCTATTCCTCGAGCTCCCTCATTCGGCGGATCTAGCCGGAACGGAAAGAGTTGGAGGACGCGACAAATCGACATTGGAAACATGTCGAAAGCGAAGACTGACAAGGCGACCAAGTCGTTGGCTGAAGAGCCTCATGGCTATGAGTTTCTAGGACCGTAAGTCCATCCACGACTTTTGCGCGCCCTGACGATCACAACGCTAACCTCGTTCCAGCCCCGGAGCTTTCATCATCTCTTTCGGTCTTCCAGTTTTGGTGTACGTCTTCACGTTTCTGTGCAATGACATCTCTGGATGCCCGGCGCCTGTCCTTCTCCACCCTTACAGCTTCACTCTTGAGCAGCTGAAGAAGGAGGTAGGATGGACTGGCTTCTCGGGTCTACTCAACACCCAGGCCTTCCTTGGCACCCTGGCCTACTACTTCCTGAGTCTGTTCCTCTACCGATTCCTTCCTGGCCAGGAAGTTGAGGGTACCGAGCTCAGGAGCGGCGGAAGGCTCAAGTACAGGTTCAATGCCTGGAACTCAGCCCTCTTCATCATGACTCTTCTCGCTGCCGGTACCATCTCCCAGGGTGCCGAGTTCCCCGTCTGGACCTTTATCACCGACAACTACGTTGGGATCCTGACGAGCAACATTCTCATTTCCTACTTCTTGGCCACTTACTGCTACGTCGCTTCTTTCAGTGTCAAGCACCCCAAGGACCCGTCTATGCGTGAGCTTGCTGCCGGTGGCCGTACCGGTAACATGCTTTACGACTGGTTTATCGGACGTGAGCTGAACCCCCGTGTCAACATGCCCATCTTCGGAGAAGTTGATATCAAGGCATGGTGTGAGCTTCGCCCCGGAATGCTAGGATGGATCATCCTCGACTTGGCCTTCATCATGCAGCAATACCGCAACTTCGGCCGCGTCACTGACAGCATCCTCCTCGTCACCATCGCCCACACCGTGTACACATTCGACGCGCTGTTCATGGAGCCCGCTATCCTTACCACCATCGACATTATCGCCGACGGATTTGGTATGATGCTTTCCTTCGGTGACCTCGTCTGGGTGCCCTTCACATACTCCATCCAAACCCGCTACCTCTCCAACTACCCCGTTGATCTCGGTCCCGTTGGTATCGCTGGCGTGTTGGCTGTCCAGGGTATCGGATACTACATCTTCCGCTCGGTGAACAACGAAAAGAACCGTTTCAGGACCGACCCCAACGACCCGCGTGTCAAGCACCTCAAGTGCATCGAGACAGCCGCAGGTTCCAAGCTTCTGATCAGTGGCTGGTGGGGTATGGCGCGTCACATCAACTATCTTGGCGACTGGTTCATGAGCTGGAGCTACGTTCTACCCACTGCCATGTCCGGTTACCTCATCAAGAACGCGGCTCAGTCTCCCATCACAGCATCCCAAACCGATGCCTACTTCTACCAGAACAGCTACGGAAAGTACGCCGTCCCTGGTGAGGCCAAGGGCTGGGGTATGATCTTCACCTACTTCTTCATGGTCTACTTTGCCATCCTCCTTATCCACCGTGAGCGTCGCGATGAGGAGAAGTGCCGCAGGAAGTACGGCAAGGATTGGGACCGCTACGTCGAGCTTGTCCCGTACAGGATCGTGCCTGGCATCTACTAGAAGGTCTCTTCCAAGACTTCTGATGGGATGTCAAGATCAGGGTGTGACGCTACCGCTTCGCGCGGTTGAAGACGTGCACCCATTATGTTTTTGTTTGTATTTATATCTGGAGGCTTAGGATGGAATGCTACCGCAAAATCGGTTGAAGACATACATCCATGTATCATTATTGGGAGGAAGATGGAATGCTACCGCACGGCCGGTCAAAGACATACATCATGGAGAGCGCGACGGAAGTAGGAAAACGGCTGCAACGCTATCGTGAAGACGATTGAAGACGTGCGCCGAAAATGTAGGGACAGGTAGATGGACATGTAGCGCTATCGCTCTCGAGCGATCGAAGACGAACATGCCAAATTACAATAATGTTTATTCACATGACGTAAGCTGACCATGCAATGGAAGGTGTGTTGTAAGAAGTTGAGAATACGTTGATACTAATAACTAGAGTCGTGCCGTCCAGCAGCGTATAAAGCAGGTCATTCCTTCATCATCCCACGTCATTCCAGTCATAAACGTAGTTAGAAAGAACAGAAATCGTAACATCATCGAGAGCATGAGTAAACCATAATCATGATCGTACGTAAATGTGATCACCTAACAGCCGCACCCTTCCGGTACGTCTTCGTCTTCTCATCCCACCCATCATCACCCGCCCTTCTACTCCCGCGATGACTCCTCCTCTCACTCCCCGCATAATCGCTCTTACTCCTCGTGTCGGCATACTTCCTGCCCCCATAGCCACCCAGCACCAATCCGGCTGCTGTGCCCAAACCAGGGAAGATCGCATCACCGATGATCGTGCCTGCGCCTGCGCCGAGGAACGTGTCTCTGTTCTTGTGCTTGTCCTCGTGTGCCTTGTCAAATGAGTGTGATTTGCGCGGCTTGTGTCTGCGTTCGTTGCGCGAGCGGTCGCGGTCGCGAGAGGTGGAACGGTCGCGGGTAGAGTGGCTGTGATGGCGGTGGTGTCTGCTGCTGTTGCTGTGCCGGGGTGGGGAGTAGTCGTCCGAGTCGGACACGGAGCCTAGACTTGTGCTGCGGTCGGAGTCTTGATCTGCGAAGCGTACGCGCGCGGGTTGCGAGTGGCTTCTGTAGGGTTGTAGAGGGGCGCCGAGGTAGCCGTTGTTTTGGGGCATCGGCTGTT